ATGTGAAAACATTATTCAGAATTGACTACATAGAAAACACTGACTCATGGGAACTAGGGTACAACTCAAGTGATATGAGCACTTGAGACATCCCAGATATACACAAAGTCAAATGTTAACAGCGTGGTGTATCAACAGAAACAATCTTTCTCTGTTTCAGAGACAGACTTGGGGATTTATTTAATTGTCTTTATTTACAGCAACAATCCTTTCATTGCTAATACCCTCAACTCCTGACAAAATATGCCTAAGGGACAGCAGCCCTCCCTCCCAGAAAGACTCACTGAGAGTGATGTTCTCAGCTTCAGAGGAACAACCTTGTGTAACTAAAGAACCTGCACCAGGGACAGAAGTGAACCTGGACTGAAAATCCAAGCAGCTTTTTAACTGCAGTTAAAGAACAGTCAATGACCAAGTCAAAGTCTCTCCCATCAGCAGGAGTTATATGGCTCTGTAATGACATTTATTGACAGCTGTCAAGCATTTGGGTAAAAATACGGAGAGAGACACTGGCAGGCACTGAGTAAGAAACATGGGAAGGGGACTCAGGTGATCATTGGTGTGTTTATTTCGGTGCATAAAACATGTAAGGAAAATTATTTCCACATTTCTAAGAAAAGGTTACAAGCAATGAAAAACAAATGGAAAAGAAACCAAGCAATTTTTTTTTACATTAATATTGAACAAGGGAGGTAAAGGCAAAGTTGTTAATTCAATAGAAACTGAGTATTTTGGAACAATCCTGGTTTTAAGGAACACAGGTTAAACCAGACTAATTTTAAATTTTTCCTTTCCTAACTGATATTGTTCTGTGAGACAATGTTTAAATTCTGAGGTGTTCCTACAGTTATTTTTCCTGCAGTGTTGTGCAGACAGATGAGAGTAACCAATCTTGCTCTCTACTGGGAGCTGGAAAGCATGACCAAACCCTGACCTTCCCTCCTGCAATCTCCATCTGGGTACAGAAGAAAGGCCAAGAAAATGAATGGTTAACCAAAGAGTTACTGCATCTGTCCTCTTCCAGAGGACTCAGCAGCTCAGGTACCCAACACTCCCTAAAAAGAGGACAAGGAGACTCTGGTGGTCTTTAGATGCCAAGGTAACTAAGATTTTCAGCTGGAGAGATTTGCCTCCTGCACACAGATTTGAGCTGGGTTGGGGAACATCTTGCAAAGCAGCAAGGGGCTGGTGGGGAATTAAATGTCAAAGCCATGGCACTCATTCCATGACTCCACATGATCTTTAGCTCCACAAGTACTTCAGATGCAAGAATCCAAGCTCAGATTTATTTTGGAACACAATCAACAGGCAGCATGGGAGACAGGAGATGCTCTTACAAGAGGAAACAAATGCCAGACAGCACAGAGTGCTACAATCTAAGAGAGAACACAGTAACAGGAGCCAAGAATGCAAACAGGTACAACAACTGAGCTTTGCTTCACCTAAGCCAACTATAAATTATTTTATAAATAGGGGGGAAAAAAAATCACTCTACACAGTCTGTGGGAGCTCAGTGTCCAAACTAACCACTGAATCATGCCCAAAAACTCTAAACAAACAAACAAACAAAACAACCTTTTCCTTCCAGTCCAAACACATTTTCATCTGAGATCTTTTCACATTGCAAACTGATTTCTTCTAAATGCCTAGGAAACAGAGCTCCTGTTTTTAATAACTATCTGGATAGCCAGACAGCACATAGCTCTGAAAGAACCAGCTGAACCTTTTGCTCCCACTACAGACTCAGAGAGGCATTACCTGTTTCATTACTAAAAGTTAAAAATTCAAATAGCAGCAATAAATACTCCCGTTGAAAGGGGAAAAAACTCAGCACTTGAGCCAAAATAATGCACGCAGGAGGAGACCATCCCTTCCAGAATGTCAACCACTCATGGCTGCCACTGTAGCACCACTCCCAGGTTATCTGGGCTACATCTTCCATACAAATCACCTGGTCATTAAATAACTCTGGAGGACTCCTGTGTGTCACAGATGACAGAATTCCAGACAAAAAAACTAGCCATAATGTTTTATTGAGTAAGATAAGTTGTGAAACAAATCCCACCACATTTTTCCCAGAATGGGTAATCAGCAGGTCCAACAGAGCTAGACATCAAAATATGGAGCCTACGGACTGAGAAAAGTTCACTTAATGAATGACATGTAAAAGACTGGTGACAAGAACATGTGAACTGGTGACAGGCAGGAAAGCCATCCTAATTTCCTAGCTTGCTCTCACCTTTTCACAGCTGAATGGGTCCTGCAATACTCACAGGACCAAAAACGTTATCATTAAGCAAAGTATACACAACTCTGCACTTTAAGACTTCTTTTTTTTTCTGACCACGTTTGTACACAAAGAGCTATTATTCACATGTAAACTAAAACACAAAAGAAAAAATATCTGATAAGCTACATACGGTGTGCAAATAAAGAACACTTTCATAGAGCATGGAGAGCATAAAGTGCTACATGAGAGCTTGACTCACCCTCCAGATCTCTGGGTAACCACAACCCAACACACCAAGTAATGTGCAAGCCAGGAGGAAATGGGGTACACATTACTCCTTCAACACACATAGACCTTTCACCAGGTTAGAGCTGCCTGTGTATTTCCAAGTAAGCACAAGCTGAATTATGAATATATTTATCAAAAGTACGTTACATGCCAGCAGTGGGTTATTTTCTCCCCTAACATAAGGACTCTGCCACTAGGAAAGCTTCAGCTGTATTGATTCTGATTAGGAGTAGGGAAAGTAACAGAGATGTCAGCTACAAAACTGAGGGATTAAAAAACTAGTGACCAGCAGAGTCAGACACCAATGTAAAGGTGAGGTAATTACCAGCTGGAGGGCAAATTAAGAAGAAACAAGAATTCTAGTAGGTAGAGTGAACTTAGCAAAAAAATGCCAAAAAACCCTGCTATGATCTTTCCAGATCAGATAATCTCCAATTCTTTGGTTATAAACTTCTCCAGATGTTTGTACTGCACTTAATGCTGTGGTATCAAATTATTTTTTTATATCCAACTAGCCCATCAGATTAAGACTGTAAATCTTTGGGGAAAATTCTATGTATCTGTATGCAAACTGCCCTAATCCAAGATTTCCATTATTCCATTAAAGAACCAGACTACTGGGTTGAGCTTCTGACTGTTACTAAAATGCTACTCCCTGAAGATTCCACTCCTCAGAAACAGAATGGGCAATTTAAAAATAACACTGTTTGTGAGTAAAGAGCTCACTGAGAACAGGTAAAGGGATTCTTCCACACAAGGGACCTTCAGACAGGCCATCAGCCTTCTGCTGCACCAGTGCTCATCCCTTCAGCACAACTCCACCCTCCCAAGAATGCCAAGACTGCAAATGCCCCAGGACAGGCTGGGTCCTGCAAAGAAACTTCACACAAACTGGGTTTTCCCAGGTCTTCTTCCCCGTTGCTCCCATCCTATCTCAAAACACAGCACAAAGGCAATGTCACCTCAGATGTCTCAAGTCAGAGTGTTGCGTTTTGCAGGGATGTCAGCAGGGCTTTTTGCCGAGTTGTGTATGGACGTAAGCACTTTTGGCATTTGCTCCTCATTGGGCACCAAAAAAGCAAAGTCTGAACGAATTTTGTGATCGCAGTGTGGGTCTGCCATCATCGGGAGAGGGCACATAGCTCCCGTGGCTCTCCCAGCTGGCACACGTAGTCTGAACTGCATTCAAGTCAAATATCTACTAATTGCTTTTTATCCAGATGCATTTCTCATTTAGGTACTACAGCTGCAAAACGAAAGATTTCAAGATTTACGAAAAGAAGAGGCAGCTTGTCACCATGTGGACACTGCTGGCTCTAGTTACCAAGATAAGCTCACTGTCCTTACTGATAATGGGGATGGAATATTTGCTGTATCCATATGTACACCTACAGCTGTGGATTCAGAGATGGAGAGGGTTTCTTATGCTACAGTTAAGAAAGATGTAATGAGCATTAAGTCATTTTACACTACATTACAGAAAAAAACAGTCTGCAGTTTTTGGCAAATCTTTGATGTTTGCTTTTCAATCTTGGTGAGTAAATGTTAACTAATGTCATTATGAACACTTTAATCCAGAGGCAGATATTTAAAAAAAAAACAACCCTCAAGGATTAATTTGATTGAAGCACTACATTTAATCCACTATGTTGTATCCAACACTGATGTCAAAATGACGTTTAAAAATAATTCTTCTACTTCACAAGTAACAGATAATGAGTCACGAAAAAAAAAAATTAAAAAATCTCTATATTATAGCCATATAGCAGCTGCTGGCTATTCAGGACTCAGACAAAACTGACATCCTGAATTCAGAATATCTCAGAATGGTTAGAACCCACCCTAAGCTTCTTCCAGACAGAGAATACCAGTGAAGATACCCACTTTTAAACAGTGTGTCTCCTCATCCCCAGCATACTAATAGCAGGATATATTTACATTTTCCAGAAGTAATTGCAACTCCTTCAAGTACTTTTCAGTTTAATTAATAAAGAGAAACTGAATATGGATTTCAGAGGATTTAAGCTCAAGCAGGGTCTAAAATCTGGTCTCTGAGATAGGAAAAAAAATAGTAGCATGTGACACTGAAACGACTGACATACTTAAACATACTTGAAATGACATACTTAAACAACAGAGCAACATTTTCCTATCCAGTGCTTTGCACAGCATTAGAAGAGTATTCTTAGGGTGATGAGTCAACTTATCTTCACTGGCTACTTTCCAAGAGTATCCACTGCTGTCACTATTTCACCTGTAACAACCTGCACAGCCATGTAGAATTAAGATTTTATTACCTTAAAGAGGAAGAATTGATTTTGATTTTAACCAAAACAATCACAAAACCTAAAGTTTACATGTAGATATTGGTAGTGATCATTACTAGTAAACTGCATAAAGAATAAATATCAGTACCTCCAAAACTGACACCATAGTAATGCTGCTGCTTGATGCATCAAGCAGGGACAAAACACAAATAGCAAACTCCCAACAAAAGTTTATTAAGCTTTACTTGGTTATTGTTAATAGGTAACACAATAAAATAAGCTGATTTAACCAGTTTTCCCCAGAGAATACCCCTGTGACTGTGTTCATTAGCAAAACCACTTGTCACATAAGATGGGAAGTTCAGAACAAGCAGGATGGTATAATCAGAGCTGCAATTTGTCAGCAGTGCACTGTATTTTGGAGCAGGTAAAGATTTCTGTAAATTGGCAAGGCTGCACACATAAGCAATAGTTCTCCAAGGAAAAAAAACATTAAGACTGGTTTTTCATCAAGCCTTAACAATAAAATGAACACATCAGAACAAAATAGTTTCTTAAAAGTAGGTCAAAAATACCCATTCATGATCACTTCTGCATTGGTTTCCTAGCAAATTCATCTACCCACACAGATATACGTAACGCGTATCCTGGAGACAGTGAGGCAGAGGAAGAAAACCAAATACATTAATGAGGTAGCTTAGACTGGGTAACTGCAGTTAAAAGTTTTATTGAACAAAAGAAGGTAAAACGTGGTAGTCCAAGTTCACTGAGCAAAAGCAGCTCTCTCGCTGAAGCTGCATTTTGTGCTAAATAACCTTATTAACTGAGACTATACAGAGGACACATTATGCAAGTTATCTCAACAGCAAAGGAGAAAAGGTAGATTAAACTTGATCTGATGGAACGATTTGGTCAAATTCAGTGGCTTAAGTTACTGTTTCTAGCCCTTAACTACCTATATTCAGTACAGGCATACAACAGAGTATGCAACTGCACTGAATTCCCGTTTGTTAATAGTGTGTGCTCCCATGCAAGTGGAAGCCACTTCCTGAAAAAAAAAAAAATTAAAAAATGTAAAGGTATTTCAAATGTTTTATTTGAAGCATCATTCAACTGACTCAGGAAAAACACTCGATATATGTTATAAAAAAACTCCCGGCCTCTACAAGGTCCGCTTCCTGTACAGTGCTAATATTTTAAAATTATTTTATTTCTCCCTTCTGCCTAAGAAACTTCATATGCTCTGAAAGCACCCACAAAGTCAGGTGGGTAAACAGATATGTCAAAAATACTCTGTGAAAAGAGGGAGGTAGCTCAGGCCCCTTGGCAACCTTCGGACAGTTCACATTGATGTGGTCTACCTCCCCTTGTAATCTGCAGTCAAAAATGAAAGGAAAGAGGATTTCAACTATGAAATTTAGTGAAAGAACATGTTCAATACAAAAAGCTTCAAATTTGACTCATTGGGCTCCCAAATGTAAGCTATAAGGTACCTCACACCCAATACACGACATTAATAACGTACCTAGTTCATACATTTTATAGACAATATCCTCTCATTTGTTAAACATTTGGCTCGGGCGAGTACATCTTTTTTGTTAACCACTTGACAAACATTCTAGGCCAAACAAACAGCACAAGTAATGTCAAAGTCTTTTTTTTTTTTTTTTTTTCCCAGTAATTGTACGAAATGCTGTAGGCTAAGCCTAACAGAAACTACTGAAGAAAAATAACAGACTCCATGATGCAGTGCAAAGGTGTTACTACAACATCATAAGTCAAGGGATGGTTCTAAGGTGCTGAAAGAGGAGATTCTCTAGACGGTGACCCTGAATTGTCCTCCGGTGGGAAAACAGTAAGAGTGCAGGCTCGAATGCCACCAAGGGATTCTGGGAGGTCAAATACTTTATGCCACTCATCTTTTTCTGGATCGTATTTCTGAACTATTTCCACCATGCACCGATTATTCCAAGAATATCCTCCAACAACATAGATTTTATTTTCAAAGACAGCAACCCCAACATCACTTTGCCCACGTAACATGGCAGCAATTGGAGTCCACTGGTCTAGAGTTGGTGAGTAATATTCACAGCTTAGAACATCATCATAATCACTGGTTCCTCTAAAGTGATTTCCACCAATAACATACAGCTTGTCTCCTACAGTACACATGCAATGCAGACCTCTGACTGTCGTCATCGGAGCTTTCTGAGTCCATTTGTCTGTGTCAGGGTCAAAACACATAAGTTCCTTTTGGAAAGTATCATGGGTAATTCCCCCTAGGGAGACAAAACACAAGTCAGAGTAATGCTCACCCTAATAATAAGCATTAAATAACAACCCTCCCCTGCCCCAAAAGAAACATGTTAGTGAAATCATTCTATCTTCCTTAAAACTTCTTCACTCTAGCTTAGATTACTATCACAGGGGTAATGGCATTTGTTCCTTTAAACAAGAACACAGGCAGAAGCCACATCTCACACAGCACTTTATTACACAGGATCGTTCCTGGCAGATTAAAAGAATAAAAAAACGTTACCCGCACTTCTGTATGGCAAAATTATCTTTGCTTACATTCATTCACTTTGCCAGTCTTGTTTCCCACCATCAAGAAAACAGCAATCCATATCCCTTTCAAATTTTGGTACTATGCCATTGTATTTTAAACAGTCCTATCACACAGCAGAATTTTTATCAGAAAACCTTTTTCATCAACTTCAAGTGAATAGAAAGAGGACACAGATTTCAAATATTCTTCTCTTAACAGATGTTTATGGTTCCCTCTATGTTTCTATGGTTCCCATAGTTGTCTGCAAAAGCATATGGAGAAAAACTTCAGGGAAAGTCACAGGATGATTTCCTGTTAGGTGGATGAAATGTCCCACCTTTCCACAAGGTCACTAGGCAGGTCACAAAGCAGTCACACCAATTTCAGACACTGTAGGCATTCCACATGGAATCATCACACCAGCAGACAGAGATGGCATGGTGTCTACAGCACTTAATTCTTCAGCTGGACAGTAAGAACTAAATACAGAAAAAAATAGGACTATCCAGCCCTGGCCCTTAATGACACCTCTAGCAGTGGTAGTGCGTGGGAGCTCATCAGAAAGAACAGCATCTAATGACAAAGGAAGCAATCTTCACATTTACAGCATTTAGAGAGGACCAAAGGAAAAGAAAAATCTGTGAGAAATGCACAGCATCTAAATGAAAAAAAACACAGCAGAGAGCATATACATGTGTCACCTGCAATAAAACAAGCAAAATGGGCAAAAAAGTACTAATAACAGCACAGCAATTAGAAGCTTATTGGTCATGCTCACAGAAAAATAAGCAGCTGTACCTTACAGTAAATTTTAAAATAAATCCCTCCGAGTTTACTGGCACAAGGCCCCCTAATTCAAGATATCCCAAGGATCAAGCTGCTCCAGCATATTTTCCCACCAGTTCTTGTCTGCTAAGCAACTTTGTCCCACCTCCTGCCCTGAATTTCAGCTTAGTTCTTAAGAGGACATCCCTTAAAATTTCAGTAATAGAATATACATAAGCCTGTGATCTCTGTAGTGATCACTGACAGACAGACTGAATCTTCTTTAAAAATTGAGAAGGTACCATATTATCAGACAACCTATTGCCCTAGTTTGGAAAAAAATGGAATGAAATTATAACCTTGGTGACGTACAGGACTGAGCATATTCTAAATGAAAGACCAGTGAAAGTACAGACATCATTCACATACTCTGATTACCATGAACACTTATTTTCCATTAGCTCAATGAAGGAAAATGTTCTTCTTTAATAAAATTTTCAATGCTTTCCAAAGAGGATGTGTTCAATTATACTACTATATTATAATTTTATTTTATAAAATATATATGATATTATATTTAATTATATAATTATATAATTATATAAATGTATACATGGGCCATTGCTACAAAAAACTGTATTCTGATAGTTGAAGTGAATAACTGCTTTGGAATTCAGAACTGTCAATTACTATGAAAATGCATAATATTATCTAAAATAATATTATATAATCTAATATTATATAATATTATATAATATTATATAATCTAAAATAATGCAGGTCAGAGCCTGCATTATGTTATTTGACTGTATTCATGTGAAATTGCATCACTACTTACACTACAGCAAACCTACTGCAACCACAGATACATTTTTATTGTCTCCCACTGAAATAGGAAAGGTTAGATAAGTGTTTCATAGAGATGGCATCATAGGAATTATTTACCTGAAATATACATTAATCCCCCATACACAGTTCCAGCGTGACCATAGTGGGGTTCATTCATTTTTGCAACGTAGCTCCATTCATTCATTCTGGGATTGTAACATTCCACAGTGGCTGTTGGAAACAAATGAGAACATAAAAGCGTTGAAGCCATTGTGGCATTTTGGTGTTGAGTACAGTGCAGTGGCAGAAACTCGTAAACAGAGGAAGTACCCACAATAAACACTGTTCAACTGAGAAAGTCTCAAGGGAATTACTGAGCTTTATCACAGAATCACAGAATGGCTGGAATGGAAGGGACCTCTGGAGAACATCTAGTCCAAACCCCCTGCTAAAGCAGGGCCACCATCAGCAAACCTGCTGAGAGTACAACTCTGTCCCTCGTTGACTAATTTTCTATTGTCTTGAGGTGTTTTACTAAGTACTTCCACAGCAATATACAGCACAGCATATGCAAATCACTAAATCAAACACCTTACGGAAGCCAAGCTTTAAAAAAATAAAAGATGAAACATCCCTGAACCTGGAAAGGAGAGAAGGAGTGCCTGTATCGATACACAGCTCCATTTGTGCAGTTTTCTTTGTGAATTAGAATGTTAAAATGATCAAAGGATTTATCAGATCAGAAATCACAGAGGATAGACAGTACTAAGTTAAAAAGAAACCCAGCACCCAGGAGTCCTTGCAGAATGCATTGCTGAGGATGAATCCTCTCTTCCAAGTAGGATGGGAGAGGTGCAGCCTGTGGGGAAAGGGCTATGCAATAAACACAGAGAATACAAATAGAAAACAGGTTCAATAATGGATATGAGCAAGCTGTAGGGATTGGCAGTTGAATAGTACAGTGTGATCAGAGAGGCAGGAGATCCTCCAAAATCCTGTAATATACTGACCTTATGATGCACAGAGCAATTCTCAATAATTAAGTTATCTTAAAGACAAATTAAATCTCATTTTAAATAATTAAAATTGAGAATGAGATTCTAATGCCTGTTATACAATGCTTAATCTCTGAAGAGAGATGTTTATGAACAACTCACACAAAAAATGAATCTGTCTTCAAAAAGGGCATTTTACTTGCTCTAGAAAATGTTTTTTATTGAATCAAGGGTAGCAAATCTGAGTCAGCTCTATGGAATCAGTGATTAACAGTCCAGGATTATGCATCTACTGAAAGAAAGAAACAAAAAAAAATAGAACCTGAGAAACTTGCCATTTTAAAGGCAGAATGTAGTTAATGTTAGTCTAAGCCTGCAGAATTAGCAGTACTGTCCAGGTCAGTAAAGAACACAAAACAGAAGCACGTATACAGTGATTAAAAGGCAACCTGCCCTAACTCCAAGCTGTCCTAAAAATATCCTTTGCCTGGATTATGGTAATGAACACATCAGAAGTTCTACTATTAAATATATATAAATCTATGAGTTGTATTTCTGTGTACTGCAACTTGACACCCCATGCAGTATTTGCCTAATCTCCAAATAAACCCATGCTCGCTCTGGTAAAAATGAATCCATCCATTCCAATATTCTTTTCTAAAAAGGAAAGCTCCCTTCTACTCTGCTCTATTTAGCAATCAGAAGCAAAGATGTGAGGAAATTTCAAAACCAGAAAAACCCAGATTTGATGGGTGAGTAATTATAGCTGTCCCATTTCCACCCCGACAGTAGACCCTTCCGACCCGCTGCTCATCATTCTACTTGCTTTCACAAACACAAAGGCATCCTCTTTCCCATGGTGCTTCCACTCTGCGCTGAGGTGAGGAACTTGCACTTCTAACACACAAGGACAGGAAGAGCAGAGTACATGCAAAGCAATCACAAAGCCAGCAGCACCCAGACGGACGTGGCACTCAACACTGAACGGTTTTATCTCTCTCTGCACTATGCACTGCATTTCAGAGAGAAGCCACAGCCAAAAGATCACTTCAGCAAGAGAAAGCAGAACACGCAGAAATTGGTACACATTACTGCCATCACTATCACCATGTTGTAAAAATATTAGTTATCTGAGAAGGGATGATGTTTAGTCCAAGATCCCTCACGTCGTGATGTGTCTTTAAAATTCTCTCGAACATTCCCAGTACAGCTAAACTACTGTTTGATGGCACTTCAGGCAAACTACTCCAACTCAAATCTCACATTTACTGTTTTCTAGAACAAAGCTAATCACTTTCCAGCTGAAAAACCCTACTCCTGTTTGATTGATTGGCATAGTTGTTTCCCTGTTACCTTGTAAGGTCATTCCATTTCTCTGCACTGCAAAGAAAAAAATATTCAAAATTCCAGTTATTAAAGGTGCCCATCAATTTAAGAGAGGCATCAGGATGTTCTCTATAAAGTCTCCAGACAGAGCACAGTTCACAACACTCAAAACCTGCTGCTTTACTGAACCTAAGTATATATTCTATACAGCACGAGACTGATGGATTATTCTTTCAACAGCATGAATGATTCAAACCAGACTTTATTTATGTTTAACAGCAGAACTTCTGATGTGTTCATTACCATAATCCAGGCAAGACAAGGCTCATTTTAATAGAATTAAGCAATCTCAAAAAGACACAAAGCTTTGGCAGTCCCAAGGGATGCTCAGCCCGCACTCATTTTATAGTGCCATCTGTGATGTTATTTGTGGAGTATACAGATATTTAGCACTTCTCTGTCAGTAGCTTCTAATGTGTCCTGAGGTTTATTACAGCAGCACTTAGCAACTGTGTGACGTCCCAAACCCCAGGATCTCAATTTTGTTACATAATTTCTTTAATACAGCTGGTTTCTGTACAACTCAAAGATGACTTGGTTAAAGAGTCCCTTACTAATTTTGTCCTAGAATAGAAAGGAGCCACTTCAAAATAAGCCCCTATTTGAGAGGTCCTCCAGTTCACATTTGGTTTGATATTCACACTACTACTCACAGTAAACAGCCCAAATGGGTAATGATGCCTATATCCTTAATCAACAACATTTAAAATATATTATTTTTTAATATATAGTTATAAATAAAATATAGACTCACAGGACAAATTTTTACATAAACAAGAAGGTTCCAGCATCATAGAGGGCACCTGGAAAATAAATGCCTTCCAACTTGATGGGCAGAGGGTCAGAGGAACAAGTTCTGCCTGGACTATAAGTCTTCTCTTTCTGTCTTCATTGCAGCGTGGTGATCAAAGTATCAATGAATATGTGGTTTAGTCACAACTCAACATCTCCTAAGGTGCTCAGGAAAAGCCCATATATAAAAATCTCAAACTCCACTCAAGCCCATCAACAGCAGAGCCTGAAACATTCCAAAAAACCTAAATGCACACGTTTTCTAGTACTTACAGGCACAGCTTCTGCCATCAAGCATCACAACTGAGCTACAAAAATCTACTTGTCTGAGAAGAGAAAACAGTCCCCAGCACTCTGCACAACAGCACAGCTGGAAATTACCAATGTGCTGTGACTCATGAGTTTCTCAGTGAGTCACACCTGGCTTTCCCTTTGCCTCCTTTTCCAAGAAGTCTTGTCTTTTGCACACCTGCCTTCTCCGGGCTGGGCTCCTTGTGCCAAAGTGCTGTTCTCCCTGCCTTCTGTTCTGGGAATACCTTTAGCAGGTGCCAGCTCTGCCACTTGAAGAGAACCAACCAGAATTATGAACAATCCTTCCAGGAGCAGTGCATGCTTCTGCACAGCCCTAAGTTGTTACAGGGCTGAAAATCTGTAATTCAGGACGTTTCAAGGATATATTTACCACATTCCAATGCATGTAACCATATACCTGGAAATTCACTTGTCCTCACCAACGAACCAAATTTTTCTCAGTGGCATGCACTGCACAGCAGCTGGTTGTTACACTAAGGCACATACTGCTGAGGTATAAAGTGGCATTTACAAAGTTCTCAGAAGATGAAACATCTGAAAACTGTTTTGATAAGGCCCAATAGAAAGTTTCAAAAAAAGTATACTTTCTATTCCAGTGAATGTCAAGTTAAAAAAAAAAATTCATTTTAGTAACTTTAATCCTTTGGCCCTTTTCCATATGAGTTGATCTTCCAGAAAGCTGAATTCTGGTTTTGGGAATCTTTCCTCTCTAACAACAGATTGAAATTAGTTTGAACCCAAGGGCAACTTCTTTAATACCTGTCCAACACATGTTTGACCTTCTCTTCTATGAAATGCCTGAGAGTTTTTCTCATCTAAAGAGAATGGGAAGTTTAAGCTGGATTTCATCTTTTGGCTGTCAAGGTTTATGAAAGAAACATGAAAATGAAAAGTGACTTGCCTCACAATTAACAAGAAAAGAAACTGAAGTCCAAATCAAAGCATCAGACAGCTACAATATTTAGCATTTAGAGTGCTCTTCCCGCAGAATGATCCAATGACATTTTTCAGGTCTGTGTGGAAATCGCTGCAGCATTTTAATGATATCTTTACAGAAGACTTTTAGATAGGTGATAAATTTTGTATTTTAATTAAAGCTGCAGAAGAGTTGAGGTCAGCAGAATGATACTGCTTGATCTAATTTAAGGGAACACTGCACTTAAAGCCTGCTGCACACACAGGTTGCACTGGCTTAGTGACAGCATTATTTCACATTGATTTGGTCAGACTTGCAATTTTTTCCACTGACACTCTCATAACCCTACTCTGCTGAGATGGTACAGTGCACAAGGTCAGCAATCTGATTATCCACTACTAATTCACACCATTAAAAAATAGCTCACTGAAGCTATTTTTCAGGTTTTCTGATACTCAAGATAAATGTCAATACATGTTAGTTTGTACATTTGGCCTTTTACAGGATATTAAGGATATTGTTTAGGATGTATTTTCAGATAAATAAAGTGACATGTAGGAAAAACTGAAAATCTCATCATCTACATCAGAAAATGGCTGTCTAGGGAATACAACTTATTGCAAACAGTTTCCCATCTTTTTTGGAAACAGGAGGCATTTTTAAATGTCTCATTTTAACAAACATTAGAATGGATTCTAAGCCTCTAGCAAAGCCAGCCCAGTTTTGTGTGGTGGAAGCAATGTACTATATGATTCCCAAGAAAGTTTGCAACATGATCATGAAAAAAAAAGCGTCTATGTAAATAACTGAGCTGCACTAATTTAAAAAATCACAGATGCTGCAGCAGAAATTAGATTTAGTATTGTTGAATTTAGAATGTTTCTCATTGCACTTAAAGATATGTGTGCATGTCCAAAAAGCAAATCTCAGCAGCAAGAGATAGTGCCAGAAAGACTTGACAAGACAGAGTTGAGTACTGGACTGAAAGCAAACGAAATAATGAAATGTTACATCTGGTTGAGATGCAATATTATGCTAAATTATTCCAAGCATAATAACTGTAATATTTCAATTTTAAAGCACAGACAAATGTACAATTGAGTGCACTCCCCCAGACTTGACTAAATGCTAACCACTATGGCTTTGCACAAAGCAGTGGATTAATACAGGTCATCCTCTGCAGACTTTTGCTAAATTAAAAGTTACCATGTATTTGTTCTTTGTTTTCAACCATCTTATTTCCCATAAATTTTTTTTTTTCTTTTTTTATATGTTAAGTTAAATGAATTATCATTTGCAAGGGGAAAGAAAAACAGGAGGTAGAAGAGTCATACATACAAGTAAGTTAACTATGTACTCACAAAATATAACATATTAAATAATTAAAAAGCCCAGAATGTCAAAATAAATGAATCTTACTGATCTGTGAGTGAAACAAATCACTCATTACTCTACTTAAAAAAACAAACAAACAAAGCAGCAGCAAGAAACCCTTAGTATTTCAAATTACTAATCCAGAAAATTTGTGTCTTTTAAAATGTAACCTTCATTCAACAGTGAGTTTCAGTTAGATATGTATCCCTTAAGAGTGGGTTTTGTTTCTCAGCTAAAGTAGTGATTTTACTTTTATAATTGCATTTATATACCCCCACACTTGCACACATACATGCTTACTTCATGTTTGATGGTTAGGGCAAAGACAGTGGATGTCATGCATCAGTACACAAGATAAATGCATTTAGAATTTTTTTTTTTTTTTTGTAAAATCCCTTCTAAAATTACCTCCTAATGCTACCCAGACAAATTTCCCTCTGCATTTGCAGTTACTTCCAGAAAGAAGCAGCACGCCAAGGACTTCAGCTTGTTTCCTCTCCACCCTTTCAAGGCCTAAGACACGGGGCAAGAGGCCGGCTCCAGGAGAACTCACCTAGTTCACCCGCTGCGTTTCGACCACCGACTGCATACAAATGTCCTTTGAGGGCACTTAGGTGGAAGAAGGTCCGCTTCTCGTTTAAAGACGCGACTTGCATCCACTTGTTGTAGCGAGGGTCAAACCTGAAGACCGTGTCAACCGCCGTCTTTCCCTTCGTGTCGTAATTGCTCTGGCCGCCAACCACGTAAAGAAAGTTTCCGATCACGGCGATGCCGTGCTGGTACCTCGGTGCATCCATGGGAGCCAAGGATTTCCATTCGTGGGCCTTCTCGTCGTACATCCGTAACTCCTTGCTGACAACCAGCTGCTGCCTCAGCACTCCCCCCAACGTCACCAAGTGCGTGCTGTCCGACCGAATGGCCGTTCTCTCCGACTGCATCACCGGCTGCATGTATGGCATCATTTGGTAGTTGCTGGCTTCCAGAAGCAAGTTGACACAGGTGTTGTCAGTTCTCATGAAGTCCACTGTCTGAACGTAGTTAATGAGATCATTGGGTGTCATGAGTGGAAACCTGATGTTCTTCATTAGCTTCGCAGCGTACTCCATCCGAGGCTCCTCGTAGCGCAGCCAGCGACAAGCCGCCTTGAAGAGTTCAAGTTCAGTGCAGTGCTTAAGGCTATTACTTGAAAGCACAAAGGCAAGACGTTCAAAGGGGAGTTTCACAAATTCACCAGTACTTAATAATGCAGGGAAGTTCTTCAGGATGAAGTTATTAACATATTTATCCACTTCTGTGAGATTGTATGTGTTGGCAATTCGCCCAACCTCAACACAGTTTTCCAACGAAACCTATTAAGTAAACAGAAAAAGGAATCAAAACACTTTCTTTATTTGATGTCTAAAAGATAATGTAAAATTTCATGAATACTGTGGAATCAGCAATATTTCATCATTTCACAATGCTCAGGGTGATTTACACATGAGCATATAAATATTCAATGTGATGTATATATTCATGACTGCAAGGGGAGACCCAATTTATTTCTAATTTTGAAGAAAGAAATGAGACAAGTAACAAGCAGATGGCACGTATTGTATGAAATACATTATACAATGACCATGTATAGCAATTATACAGCACTTCATCTCTGAAAAACTCTGAAAACATCTTTGTAAGAAAGACACGTGGAAAATACAGTTAAGAGAGAGGCGATCAGCCCAAGGTTACAGAGAGCAATGCAGAAGTCTTGCCATTAGACATTTTCAAACATCATCAAAATTGTATTGGCATAATAAAACCAAAGAGAATGGCACAGCTACCCCTCCTATGCCACATATTTCAGACACTTTATTTACAGTGTTCAATCCTATGAATAGGATCCTTCAAAACCAAAACAGATCTTTAATAAATCAAGGCTGTCCTCGTTCAGACTATGTTCAATATTAAATACATATCAAAAATAAGACAAAGGCAGTGACTTTATTTCATATACATATACATAATTTTTAAAAGAATGAATCTAATAGGATCTCCCCTAAAATTATCCTCTTCATTAAATGCTATAGCAGTATGGATCACACCTGAATTTAATTCAATACCTGAGTGACCATACCTTGGTAAACATCTATTTTACACTGTTCCTGCATCTACGTTTCTTATGTGTTTGGCTTCCTTAATTTCTGAGGTCACTTAGGATCCAAGGCAGAGGGAGGAATAAACATGTCAGGCATGGGGCGTAACTTAAAGTGGGTTTTCAGAGAACCCAGTCAATTAATGTCATCAAGCTCTATGGTACACGTGCAAAACAAGTCAATCAAATGCTTCTTGCTGAGAATTGCAGCTTTTTTTGCATTCAAGCCTATTGCAATCCAAGCTTCATTTACACATGCTTTCTAGTCTCTGTGCATGTCAGTCCTACTCAGTGTCAACCATTTCCACAACTTCGTGATTCTCATTATACTTGTAATGCCGAAAGAATTTAAGCTTCCAAATCTCATGGTTATTTTTAAAAAGATTATAAAGATTGAGGACCATGACCTGACTGCAACCTAAGATTTCAAAAACCTTCAAATGACCTTCTGGTCATGACAGAGATTACAAGATTTTAATGCTGTATAACTCAATCTGATCATTGCCCTTTAATACCAGACAATTCAAATGTCTAATGAGTACAGGAATAGATCTTCTTACTTCACTAGACACTGATCTAACTTGCCCTACAGTTAAGATCTGTGGTCATCCAAAGTCTTCATTCACACATCTTTAAACACTTTCATACACTCAAAGGTTCCAAACCTTATTCTTCATTTCCAGGAACACTAACCCTGTAATCAGATCCTATCTGTAAGATGAAGGTGCAGTGGATTCTCAGGAGTTCTATTATGAAACTACATGTGTAATGTACACCTGGACATTATTTTTTTATTACAAGACAGACCAGATTGATTATATCAAAATATAATCACACCAAATAGTAATAGGTTATAAACCATTCTCTGAATGGTTTTTAAGAGTCAGTATCAAACAGATTGTTCATAGAAGTTGTAGATTCTCCATCCCTGGAAGTGCTCAAGGCCTTGGGGGCTCACGAGGCTCTGAGCAATCTGGTCTAGTGGAAGGTGCCCCTGCCCATGGCAGGGGGGTTGAAACTATATCATCTTTAAGGTCCTTTCCAACCCAAACCATTTTATGATTCTGTTTTCTGTACATTTCTTTAGGATGAATCCTAAAACACTGCACCATAAATTAAGTAAATGAAACAGGACATTCTTACTTTTAAAATTTCTTCCAAGTTGTATAATATAAAAATAAAGCAATGGAAAAATCACAAACAGCTTTCTTGCAGCATAGCACAAATGTTAAATTTTGTTATACAGTTATTGTATCTAAAAATCCCTTTGGAATACATTTACTGGCATCGAAATACAGAGATGCAGGACTTCCTCCCCATAAAGGTAAGATACTGCACACGAAAAAGGCATGCTTGAAGCTAAAAGATCAAAACCCATACAGGTTCTGTACCATTGGTACATGGTGTTCAAGTTGCAATGAAATACTTGGAGTCATTGCAGACACTCTGACACCAAGTGCCCAGCATGCATCAAGTTATGTATTATCATAATTATGTTACACTGTAAATCTATGCAATTGAATATATTCCTGGAATATATTGTGCAGTGTGTCCAGTAACTAGTAAAAATACTCAAACAGGAAGACTAAAAGCCATAAACAGCTAAGCAGCTCCATAAGGAGTTGAAAATTTTATTTAAATAAATCCTATTTTATGTGGTCTTTGACTATGGAGCAGAAATGTTCATTCACATTACTCACTGCAATTGCTATTACAAAGCAGAAATTGCAGAAAATACTAAAAAGCTTTTCAAAAAAGAAAGGTCAAGCACAGCACTGTATTATTACAGCCTGAAAATCCCAATGCAAAAGCCAAAGTACTTTCTTGAGAAAGTGGTTCACTTAATTCTTTGAAATTTTGAAACAATCACTACCCAAGCTGTCATAAAAACTTAATGGACTATAAAGTACTACAAAACTGGACACAGCAAAATGATTGCAAGTATATTTCTGAGAAAAACTCAGAAATAAGACGCACAGAAATCAAGCCCAGAAGCCCAGTACCACAAAACATTCGGGTGTCTAACTTTGTTTTGTTTCAACGACTGTGAGACACTGAAGTGCTTAACACAGTGTTTCAAAAGGTAGAAGTTTAAAAGAGCTCACATAGCCCTGAAACCTTCAATTTTTCTGTGGGCTCCCATACACAGAAGCCAAGAAAAAAACAGCACAGAGATTTGACCAGCTCAGAAAGCGGAATCAATCATACCCTTTCTGGTGGCTGGCAGAGCTGGTCCCAGCATTAAATCCCTCGCTCCCACAAAACAGATTATCTTGCTCCGTCCTCAGACAACCAAGTTCTTTTGACAAGACAGGACTTCCAAGCATTAAGCCCTCAATATTTGACAATTTGTTAGTTATTACAAAACTGTAAAGGCACAGAATTATGGAAGGAATAAATTTTACTTATGCGAGGACAGCCAAAACATTAATTTTCAATGTTTTGGAATGTTGTCTTTAATTGCAGTACACCACCCCCTTCCTCATTACCCTGTGATTTTCTCCTGAGTGCTGTAATTTACTTGGACAGGTTTCTCATCTTTCTCCATTTTGTGCATTGCTCCTACTTTTGCAAAATCACTACTGTGTGCTCTCTAGCACTAACTACTCTGAAAACATTTCCATGGCATTTTTATAATTTTAATTACATTATGCCTCATTTAGATGTGAACATGGAGTAGTCCTAATCTATTGTACAGCTATAAATATTTAAAACTAATAGCATGAGTAAAACAGAAAACATCTTGGGAAGTATTTCAGTGTTTCTCAGAGTCTGTTTGGCTGCAGAGTAAAGATTATCACACCAATGACAGGAGAGGTGTACATGCAGAGCAAATAAAAGAACACTTTCAAGTCAACTACAACAGATAAAATTCTTTGAAGGTCTCACTACTTTTGTTACATGAATTAAGCTGTTACCTTAAGCTTCTGTTTTTCTTTCTAAATATTTCCAAAACCCTCTTATGAATTAACACAATTACATTATGCCTTACATAAACTGACTTCTTAATCTCTTTAATAATGGACTCCCTAGACAATTCAAAGACAAATAAACATTTGTCTGGAAATGGTTACATCAGGTCTCGGATGCTGCTCTCAAGTCAGATACCTTCAGTAGAAATCAGCTCAAGACTTGCTCGAAATACTCATTTAAATTACAGAAATGCTCCTTCAAAAAACAAGAGTGAAACTGGGAAGCAGTCTTCGTAAAGCTGAGATATGATAATTGAAAAAGTAAAAAACTCCAATCCAATTTCCTAGCCAACTCTTGTTCCAACAAAACTCAGTTCATTCAAAACTTCTTTATATTCTCAGCATCCTTGTATAACCAGGCTAACATCACAACCTCAATTTTGTACCTCCTCTAGAGCTATACCATGAATGAAATTATGTCTCCTTAGACAGTGCTGTAAATAAAAGCCTTCCTGATTCTTTGAAAATGTAGTATCAAACAAGACATTTTTCACTTGAACAAGAACAGCGACTGATTCAGTATCGTAAGTGAAGGCACCTTCAGAGAACAAGCATTTTAAAGAGTGAAAAAAAATATTCCAAATAACACTATTTAATATGAAAAAAACTCTTTCCCTCAGAAAGCAAAAATAAACAAGCAGCTGCCCTATGCAGAAAGGGGAAAGGGCAACATGATGTCCCTGGGGCTCACCTCCCATCAAAGGGAGGCCGCTCCAAATCCCTGATTTAAAACACTACTAAGACCTTTTTCCAAGTTGGTATTTATAATAATGTCAACCCTGGAAAGGCACACTGTGTCACTTTGGAAGGTAAAAAACCACTGAGCAACGTAAAATAGGTGGTGTAGGACTGAAGAGTATTAAGATTAATGAAACATTATTGCAACATTCTCAGAGAATCAGCCAGTTAGAAAATATTCCCAAATTAAAAGCAAAACAGCGCATTATAGAGCCTAGATGTCTCTAACACTTCCCTTATGAAACAAACTGCTATTATTACAAGCTTGGAGTCCTCTTCTTTGCATAAATCTTGGTACATGTCAGCTAGGGAGGTCACATTTCTAAGCCTGTACTCTGCAGAACAGTGGGAATACCTGGTTCTTTATTTCTCATTACAGGCTACCACAAAGCTGAATTCCATATAATGTGAGTTCATGTGGAACACACCAGTCTCCCTGTTACAGGTAAAGGGAGATTTCTAGTAAGGTATACAAGCAGTTAACATTAACATGAGAAATCCTCCAAATGGCACCAAAGTGTCTCTCTAGGCTGCTTTGACAGCGCAGCTCTTGCACTTATATCAAACTCACACCGCACATAATACTCAGAAGAAAAAATATTTTCAAGAAAACTACACAGCAAACTTGTTCTCTGTGAATCCAAATTATGACTAATGGCAAGTTTTAGACTTAACTTTGACAATTACATTGTCAATGTCATTATAAAAAAAAAAAAAAACAAAACACATACCAAGGCATTAATCATTGTAAATGGGAAACAAGTAGTCTTACCCCAGAGATAAGAAACACTTTACAGAAGTCCAAAACAGGTAAAATCTGCAAAAAACTGGCAGCTTCCAGAGTGTCCTGAAGGTTGTCCATGTTAAGGGAAAGTTTTGCAGTATAGATGAAATCAATGATCTTCTTTAGGCCTATTTTGTTCACACCATGAAGCTTAATGCACATTAAATCTTGTTCCTTCATTCCCCCTAAAAAAGACACACATGTAAATTTATGTGATCATTTTGATGGGGTTGAAATAATTTCATAAACTTATACAAAATTGAAACATTATTTTAAATTTTAATTTAAAACCCCATATGCAACAGTAGAGAGAGTTAATTAGTCCATAATGTTGTTTGCAGTCCTGATTCACACACAGCACTGAACTTGTGCCTGAGTGTCAGAATGATGGCAGTTTGGAGACAGCAACTCTAATAAAAACCCCACCTGTGAACATTGCCTTGAAGTAATCACTGGCAGAAGCCATCATTGCTCTGTGAACAGGAAACACCTCGTCACCATCTCCAGGAACAAGCGTCACATCACAAAGCAAACCTTCCACTCGCAGTTGGTCAAAACCCTGCAGGAAAAGGAGAGCGAGAATCTTTCATTTCCCTTACATAAATACTTATTTACTTATTTACGTACACATGTACTGTAGTACCGAAAAAGTGACAAAGAAATAATTTGTCATCTTAAAATCATTATCTCTAATATATTCAATTGTTATTATTCACTGAAAAGAAGCAGAATAATCGTTATTTTCCAGATATGGCCAAAGAATGTTAAGTACACTGGGCCTTAGAAATTAGTTTTATTCAATTAATTAAGGTATTTTCAGGAAGGTGTTTCTTTTGTAAGCTTTCACAATAGCAGTTGTTTCAGGTAGGGACTGATGTCTTTTTTTGGATCTACCTTTTCTGGATACATATGCATTCTAGATATAATTCTGTTACACACCAGCCTAAGTGGTGGCAAAATTCTGCAGCCTGAAAGAAAAGCTGTCACCTGGTTCCATGATTATCAAATTTGTTACCAAAGATGGTATGGTAAGAACTCCAAAATAAGCTCCCATTATACATCTGCTCTTCTCTGAATTACATATAATGGCTAAAAGTAATAAAAAAGTAAAGTCATCTAAAGCATTCTAGAGTAAGGTTTTCCTCTAAAGTTGAGGATACTGGAGGATGACTGAAATACTCTCCTCCCTTATGCAATACAGAACAGAAGCTCAAACATAAGATATTTTCCTTTAAACTGGTGTTTTTCTAATACTAGCAAGAATGCAAATATTGTCTTTTTAGACTGAACATTTAAAGAAGTCTTGGTATCAGCATGCATGCTTTAGAATTCAAGTTTTCTTAAAGCAAGGTTGTATTTTTAAAACTGCAAAAGTAAGCAGAAATGAACATTCAAATTTGTTGCCCAGAAAAAAACAGAGTGCAAATGAAAAAATGAGTATTGGCTTCAATATATCAGAAGTCAAAGACAAGATTATGTAAATCCACTCTATTACAATTAGTCAAACGACCTGCCTGTAGTTCCCACAAACAAGGCTACAAACAAAACTACTAGTTCACCAACTGCTCAAATTTGGAAGAAAAAAATTAATAAGGAGGAAATAAGCACTAAACACTTTGTGTAGTGTTCAAGCAAGGGAGCAACTATGTTCAAGCAACCATGCACAACCATGCAAGCCTTAGAAACTAAACCAAAAAAATCACTAGCTTCTGTGAACTAACAATCAATTTTTTCCCCAAAACTGAGGTAATCTATTTATGCAGCAAATAAAAAAAGTAAGTGGCAGTTCTCCAAGGAGCCATTACCATACAAAAGTCATCTGCACTACTGAGAAAGACCACACTGCAGAGCAGCAAGAGCTATAAAGCTGTTGGATTGACTCTGTAGGGCATGTAAAAGCTCCAGAAAAAACGAGAGGATAAAATGACTATACTCTTAAATTCTTAAAGCTTTGGGGAGGATCACATTTTTATCCGCTAGAGGAATGTCCTACATACATACAGCAGTGCCACAGAGCCAGGCCCAGCACAGGGCCTTACACCAAACCTGGCAGGGCTCTGCCAGCTTAGGGATGTGAAGATGGAGCACAGAGCTCTCCTCGTCACATCCCTACAGCAGCTTTCCCACAGGAGACGGTACAAGTGTTTGCCTAACGTAATTACATGATTACATTTAAGTGAGCTTCTTTGACACTGCTGTCACTTCATAATTTAAATTATATAACCTCTTAGAAATTGAGAGTGGACAAGGATACGACCCAAGGAAAAGGTCAGGCTTTTCTTTTCATGCTGTTGCTAGAAGTTGAATCTTTAACTCAGAGGAAATGAAGTCACAAGCTACGCTGGCTTGTGGGCATTGCCAGCACAGCACAATAACATGGGGGGTTTTGAGGTTTTTTTAGGAATTACCAGACTGAGAGGAGGTAATGTTTAGAGCAGTCAAAATTCTTAGCACAGATCAATACAGACAGAAAAATATTTAATTACCTGTAATACCACAGAGCTGTGAGTATTGCTGGTGAAAAATCTTGTGGTTCCTGTCTTCGAAGACTGTAGATGGGCAGAGACGCCCATATCGCTGCTACCAAGAGATACTTTCATATGAGGATCCTCCTCTTCCACCAGAGATCTAAGAAAATTGGAACAGAGAAACCTTAAGACCAAACTCATTTTCACTCACTGATCTTTTGTTCTAAAACCACAGTCTTCTGGGATGAAATGTAACAGTGCAGAGGCTATAGGGAAAAAAAAATCTGCAGGCAACAGAATCAGTCCTTAGTGGTTTCCTTCAGCTAATTTAAGAAAGTGAAGCATTAAGTCTCTAGAAAAAAAATTTCAAAACCCTAATTTTTGGTTAATAAGTTTTTCCTTTTCCTTCCATTCACGCCTCCCTGGTTTAGACACTAGCACACTACGTTATTTCTATGTGTGCTTCCAGTATTGTAGGATGCTTGCAGGGGGTTCATCTGGTTTCCAAAATCAAGTATCTTATCTTTTCCTTGGCAAACTGGTGAAATATTAGAACCCTAATATTTAAGTAAGCATTTTCATTCTTATGGTTTACATTATCTTGCTCACATATGAACATCATAATAGAAAATACAGAGCATGGAGTTTCAAGCTGCCTTTAGAAACACACAACTAGAACTCCTTTAGGACACGATGATCCAGTATTTTGCTACTGCAGGCAACCACTTCATAATTTTAATTTAAGATTTGATTCCCAGCAATTAATGTCCAAATCTAGATAGGAAGAGCTAATTTTAGGTAGAACTGCTAAAGAATTACCACGCTATTATTAGCCTTCTATTTTAATCTTGAGATGTAAATTAGGTTTACATAAAGAGATATACATACATATGAGAATCTAACTACCCTAACCTGTAATTATTATACAATGTAAATTAATTTCATCTCCAGAAATATTAACAATAACTAGCTTCTGTAATTTCCATGATCTAATGTGCCACCTATGAGCATGCAGGGCAGTATAACTCATATATACACAATTTTAATTAGCAAACATAAGCTGCTAATCCACAGATGAGGGCACCTTCATTATTAATAGACTCCATGTCTCAGAAGATTGTCCTTTGACGTAATTGCTGCAAAACTCAGATAGGAAAAGTTTTCCAAATTTTAAATGTGCAGGTTAAAACACTGGCCTCCAAGCTAGTTTCAGAAATTACTTTAAATTAGTAACAAGAATGTGCTTAAATCCCCCTCCTCTTCCCCAATTTTGATTATCTTCACTATGTAAGGGCAAATTTGGAATTTGCGGAACATAAATGATATTCATAATTTCCTTTTCTTAGAAAATATTTCCCCCACTTTCTTTGGGTACAAAGACCATGCAGTGCAGTTTCTGAAACTCACACATTACCCCGATAGCACCAGTGTGCCTTGTTCAAACCCATGAGTACAAAAGGTCAGCTACAAAAACATATTCAGAACAAATTCACCATTCAACAGCGTACACGGGTTTGAAACAGTGAGATTTTATGCACACAGACATAACACTGTAGGAACAAGGGTACATCTAAACAGCTGTGACTTCTAATGTATTCAGACAGCTGAATAAACTAATAAATGTGGATGTACTGCAGCATGCAAGATTTGTGCTATTTTTGAAACAGAATTATCTCTATTTTATAAAACAAATCCAGAATCATTTAAATAAAGTTTACAGGGTGTACTTCAGAAAAGTGCTCTCCAAGCTATCTTTGGCATCCAACAAATACGACAATGTAACACAGCAGCAAAGCAATTTCTAGCTCATGACCCAAAATATTTTTGTTCACTTTTTTCTAGGGTGTTTCAGGTTTGGTGGGGTTTGTTTGTTTTAGTTTTAATACATTCACATCAAGGCAAGAGTCTAACATAATTTCAAAGGACACCCAGTCTCTAAATTTGTACATGTCTTTCCAAGAAGAAATACAAAATAATGTGGGGAGACTTGTAAGCGTGGGTGGGATGGAACAACAGATTCAACTAGCACAAATCTGACTATTTGCTCTTGGAGCAGCTTCCCAAAATGTCAGATCAGATAGACTTTACATGAAGGAGCTTTTAAAATACTTTCTCTAAACTCAGAAGAAAATAGAAGATGTACACATCAGTTAAAACCATTAGGAAAAGAAATACACAAGTAAGACTCTTCTTGGCTCTTTGGAGTGGATTTTTTACCATGTTTGCCACAACACTACCTGATCTCCTGACAGCCAGCATAATTCACAAGTTTTACAAATGAAGGCAAAGACCTTGACCATGATCCATTTATTCCAAGGACAACAGTGATCATGGAAGCATTTTCTGAACGGGCCAGGTTCACACAACTTCCCAAGCTCTGTCCTAAGAGGTTGGTCTCAGAGAGGATATAAAAGATTTTACAATACTTATAATACTTAAGAGGACACATTCGATGTGCCAGGTGTGACTATAAGAAGTTATTTCCCCTACCTGATTTGCAATAGAAAACAAGCAGTTTTCTAATACCTGTATCACACACGTCAGCTCAGCAAGAAGAGATTTTCACTATTTCTCTTCCACACTGGCTGTTATGTATGGACAGGAACTTGCACATGCAAATTAGACATTAAAAACTGGAAGTCCCACACTATAAAAATCCACCAGAATATAACTGTTACAGTCCTAGTCTCAAGAATTAACTTGGCTGTGTATGACTCCACAAGAAAAAAATACTAAAGATAAGCGGATTGTATTAATCCTATACTGGTTTCTGGCTTATATCTAAACAACTATGACAAAAAAAGCCCTGTGATATGTTTATTTGTGGGGCTTTGGGGATTTTTGTTTTTCTGTTTTGTTGTTGCTAAATAAACCACCTTTATAACCTACAGCTTAACAGTTTGGGAGGGTCAAGTACCCTCTCCCTTTCTGCAGAAAGTGACATTGAGGAGCTGGGTTTGGCAGAAGTTCCAACACAAGTCAGCAATAAGACCTGGCGACAGCATCCCGATCCCCTGAATTCCAGCTCTGTGACATTCACCAAGAGGGAAAGAGCACTCCCAGAGCAACCAGAAATTATGCCTTTGTCGCTGGCTCTGTGCAAGTTTCAGCATTTATCTTCACACAGCAAGAGGAACCTTTCTTTGCAAGACAAAGTGAAACTGTGACAGCTCTTACTCTCTGTGTTGATAGAAACAAACGGAGAGCAGAACCCAAGCACTGTATCATACACAATAATTTAAAACTGCCCTGCAAAAAAATTTTCAAGTATTCAGAATATAACCTCTGCTGGGGGGGCTGTAAACTGAATATGCAGAAATAACTCTGCCATTCACAGCCAGAACAGACAGGAAACGCGCTTAATGTCCAACCGAATTCCCAACAAAACCATAGTAAGTACATCTGTCTTCTTTGGACACTTACCAAAGGTATTATTTACATTCATTAACATAGGCCTGCTAAGCACTATAATTAACTCAATAATAATGAATGTAAACATATTGATTTTTTCACTTTATTGTAAGTACAGCGTATCACAATTAAGCATATACCAAAGAAGAAACTTAACTCACTTTCTAATTAATTCTATTGGTCCGATCAATAGAAATCATTAAACAAGAAGTGCAGCAGTACCATTTTTAACCAGTTAAAAAAAAAAGAAAAAAGTTAGAAAAAGTTAAAACTACAATAACATGTAAAGAGAATTCTCAACAAGCTGCTCTGAATGTGGAAATTAACACCACCCTCAAGGCACACACTTGGCCTGGAGGGGGTTGAACATTACAGTGGCAAGAACAAGGGAATGTTGGAGTTGAATGTGAAATGAATATTTAACACTGCAATAGGAGGGCAGAGGAGCTGCAACCTCTGGGAAGCAGTGGCTCGCAGTTCAGAGAAAGGCACCAGAGGTTAATTAGTTGCCATCACAAAGTAAGTTGAATCAGAATTTTCTTTCTAACCTCTTATGCTGATTCTTTCAAGTACAGCAGTTTTCCCCTTACAGCTATAACCAAATGTGACTCCAAGTTAATCCTCCAAGTACTTCCAACTGGTATTTTTGTAGCAATGAAATATGGAGTGTTCATTATATGGATATTAATATGCTTTAACTTTCCAGCAAATACTGACAAATTTAACTGGCTGGAGATACAACATGATTTACAGAGGCAAACTGCTTTCTAAAGCACTTAGCAAATATTAACTGTTCAGAGGCATCCAGGTGACCCATGATAAGCAAAGATTTGTGGAAACTGTGACAAATTTTATTCTCAACTAGAATATTCAAATTATGGAGTGGTCATTTTGTAGAGAGCTCAGTGGCATAAATGAAATAAAACAATATTCTGTTACGATGTTTTCTTCAGAAGTAGTTGAACTCATTCTGATGCAACAGAAACAAGGGAACTAAGAATATTAAGGATTTGTTCACTTACACTAGTAAACTATTCATCTGTTGTGAAGAGTCTTTGAAAACAAAGGAGATCAGCCTACAGCTACAGATATTTTAGAGTGCATGTTCTCCATTTATTTAAAACCCACAGTCTTTACATAAGTCAGTAAAAGCTTGCCAAAATTGTATTGGCCAGACAGTGAATTCTTAAGTTCTCAGCAGCTTGTTTCTGAAAGAACTACAACCTTATCTTCTCTGTCAAATTACCGTTCAATGACCCATGACCACAAGTGTTCTGGTCACTGGTAAATGGTTTCTTCAGCAATCACCCTTGGCATGTGCCAGGACTCTGGTATTTATCAGGTAGCAAAGAACAAGATTTCAATTTCATGTTAAGACATTACAAGACAAATCTTTACAATTTTATGACATCAAAAAATCTGTTAGATTACAAGGCTATCCTACATATGCAGCTATGTATGTAATGTGCTAATGAACTTTATAATGAAAAGACCTGTCAAATGCACCAAAACTTTCATTTACTATTAAATATACAGTAATTTTTTTTTACTTTATATGCTTAATCGGCCAGAAAGTATTTTAGTAAGCTTGGTCTGCCAAAAAATACGTATTGACTCTTTACTGTCTTCCCATTATGAACAGATGTTCCAACTTCACAAGTAATGACTTTAGGAATTTGCCAACAAATAAATGCCCACCTTGGAGCTCAACAAGCACAAATGATATGGCAGCATTGTATAAAAGAAAAT